AGTTGGTGGTCTGTTCCACAATCAGCTCCTGGCCTATGATTAGATATTACTGTCATGACAAGAGTCCAGAATGAAAGGGACATAGTGGATGGCGGCGGGGGGGTGGGGGGGATAACTGTATAATACTGAAAAGAATTGTGTGGGTTTTTTTGTTTGTTTTTTTTTTTACTTTTCAAAGAGAAAAGCAAACGGGGGGAGGGGTGGCAGGGAGGAAAGTGTGCAACAATGAATGGAAATCCAAAGTCTCTGTAAACTTTCATTAAAGAAAAAAAGCGTGAAAAAATCTATTTTCACTGAAAAAAGTGAAATACTAATTTTTCAGATAAGGAATCTGAAGTATAGAAAGATTAAGTAATTTGACTGAGATTTTGAAGCTATATTAAAAGGCAGAGCTGGGATTTGAACACAAGAAATCTAATTATAGATACTGATTTCGACTATCATTGTAGTTACATTTTCTTATTATATGTTTAAATCAAAGGCACTGATTTCACATTTGAAAATCGCAGAATCTTAATTTTCTAAAGTAATCCTTGATAATACATGTTGTGATGTGCCACTGAATCCAAACCAATTCATAGCTGACCCTCGAGTGGTTTTTCAGAGGCTGCAAATTACATTGGAGATTGGAGTTTGGTGGTTTCAAAGTGTGACTTTCAAGTCAGCAGTTCAACTCCTTACCACTAGGCCACCAAAGCTCCTATCTTGATATACCAAGAATTACTTTAATCTTAGAACTTACATTATTTACAAGTTTATGTAAATGTTAAAATTGGTCTTTTTCACTTTTCTCCTCAAATCACAAAGTTTGTTTCTTATTCTCATTTTCTGCCAGAATTCCTAAGGTTTCTTCATGGTGTACATGGTTTAATTAATACTATTCAGTACTGCAGTAAAGCTATAACTTACTAGAGAAGTCATGGGGTGTGTGTGTACTTTCAATGTGACACTGCAGCTGGAATGGTGTGGGATACTGACGGTGGCAATGCTGGCAGGTGGTATGGTTTTCCCAGCTCTCGCTGTTTTGCTTCTCAAGTTCCATGTGGTGTTTCATATGGTTCATAAACCTATAAATGATTGTTAACAGGAAAAAAATTCAGAATAGAAAAAAATAACCTCATATACAACTATCTAAATCTAAAATTTGGGAAATAGATCACCCAAAAACTCTGAGGTCTTAAAGCCCCCTAGTAAACTCTAGAAAAGTGTGCAATATATTTTCTTTTCTCCCTGCACTTTTAATCATCACGTTAATTACTCAGTAACTACTTTTTATTTGAACTTTCTTTACAGTAATTCATTAATGTAGTTCATATAAAATATCACTAATTTACTATTATTTTTAATAATTATTTCACGTTGAAACCTTTTTTGTAAAAGAAAAGAGCAAGCTTCTTTTTCATACATGAAGTACTGTCTACATTTTTTTTAAGTTTATTATTTTTTGTGTGTGTACTGTTAAATTGGATCTGACTGGTACAGGAGGAGATTGCCCCTCCTTCTCCAGCAAAGCATCTGGTGGATTCAAACCGTGTACTTCTGGGACTGCAGGGCAGCTTCTTGCCACTAGGCCAAGAAGAGAAATCTGTTGAAGGCCTGTGACTTAAAAAGAAAATTATGAGTATTTTTATTTTTGTCTTGTCTTTTAAATGCAATCAACATTAATTTTAATGTCTATAATTACAAGAACCTTTTGTTTCACTTAATGATATTGGTTTGCTGTTAGCAGACTGTTGATTTTAAATTGTAGATTATACCCTTTATAGGTACTGTCCACTGTTCAGTTTTACAATCTGCTATTTCAACTTCTCTAAAAGGCTTCCATTGAACAAAACCTATGACCTTCAGTACCAGAGAGTACAATTTAAATAGGAATACTTATTTCAAAAAGATTTCTAATGTTTTTTGTTGAATTTGAAGATTATTCAATCAAAACTATACTTTTCAGATTATTTTTAATTGTTAACAATTATTTCCTTTGAGTCCCTACAAGAAATAATCTTGACACTAAATTATCATGAAGGTTTTAACCTTTACCTCTATTTCACAGCTGAACAACACTTTTTTTCAAATTCAAATAAAAATGTGAATATTTATTAATATATGTTTATTTTGTGTGCATAGAAAAACAAACGAGATTACATACATATTACATACAAAATGGGGGAGGATACTAGTATGCGAATACTGTGTTCTGGAGAGCTCTCCAGGTTATGGTAAAACTCGAGAAAATTACTCCTTAAGCAGAGGCAGCAGACCCTCCTCAGGGTAATGACTCCCTCTCCTTCCCTACAGCGTCAGTACTTTTTGCCAAAAGGCCCAGATCTGAGTAAAGGAGAGCGCCCCCGTGAGCGCAGAATCCGCGCATAAGGGCTGCAGTCTGTTGAGCTTTGGCAGGTGGGTGTTCGAGGAAGTAAGTTTCGAAGGAATGGTTTCTTTCCTGGGGGTTGATGGTTTGGTTGCTGGTTTTCCTGGTGCTTTCCAAGGCGCTTTTTGGTAGAGGAGGCCTGGCCTTGGAGTTTTGTCACCGTGTGATACTGCTCAGCGATGCAAGCTGCCTTCTTCCGAAGGTCTAGTTTCACAAGCATCGTGTTATTCTGCAGCTCAGCCAGGGTCTGGTCCTGTTTGATTAAGATGTCATCACAGGTAGTCAAGGCTTGTCGAAGTTTTTCAGCTCCAGTGCTATGGCAACAGGCTCTTTCTGCTGACTGGAAAGACTCACCAAGTTTCTGAAGCTCTGTCCGCAGCAGCCTTATATTCTTCTGGCCTTCCTCTAACTTCTTGTCCACATCAATGGTACAAGGCTTTGCTGAAGGTGGTGGTTCTAACATTTTCTGATACTTCTGCAGCTCTTCCGAGGTAGACTTTAGCTCTGCTTTGCACTGCTCTAATTTAGATTTCACCTCCTGGAGCTGCTGGCCATGGGACCCTGCCAGCCGTTGTGATCGCCGAAAGGACAGTTCAGACTGAGATTGTTGGTGGGCCACTGGTTGCTGTCTCGCTTCCTGTAAGAGGGCTTCTAGCTCTTCAATCTTTTCATCTCTCTCCTGAAGCTCTTCTTGGTAAAAACTTGAGTGACTCCTTGAGAATCTTTAGTTTCTCTTCATACATTTCCTCTAATAGTTCCTTCTGAGTGTCCAGATGTTCACTGCACCACTGTTCCCGTTGTTGCATCTGCTCTACCATCTCATTGCAAATTTCGTCACGGCATTTCCAGCTGTAGCTTTTCCTGCCTTTCTTTTAAAGCTGTATTTTCAAGGCTTCTACCACCTTCAGGAGTTCCTCCTTGCTATACATGGAGGTGTCACTTTCATTTTCTGTGTTGTCATCAAGGCCTGGGTCCAGCTTAGGCCCCGTCTCTAAGCTGGGGGATGACCGAAGACTGTGTTCCTTGATGAATGAATGCAGGAGTGGTAATCCCAGTTGCACTGGTGGGGCATGCACAAGCTGGCTGGCAATAGCTGAAAATTTTGCCACATGAAGGGTTTCATCATAGGTAGATTTCACATTGACAATCATACATGAGCGGCCTCGGCCTGTAAAGAAGCCTTGGAACACTCGAGTCAACTTGCTGTCACGGAAGGGAACCAAGTTTTGCTTTGACCGGTTCTGCTGATTCTGGCGCAAAGCAGCAATACAGCGGCCTAGAGTGTGCAGAGAAGTGTTAATGTTTCCTGCTTCCTTCAGCCTGTTTGCCACTCTTTTGATCTTTGCAGCGCTCTGAGCCAGCCAGATCACAGAGTGACAACTCACTAATCTTGGGAATTAAATCCCCTTCCCCCTGAAGGTGCAGGATTCTAATTGAGAAAATGCTGTGACTGCGGCTAGAGTTCTGGTTCAATAGGGTACTGGCAAAGCTCTGGGTTTTTAAAAAATTTTATTTCATTATTTTTGTGTGTGTGTACCGTCAAATCAGATCTGACTGGTACAGGAGGAGATTGTTCCTCCTTCTCCAGCAGAGCATCTGGTGGATTTGAACCGTGTACCTCTGAGATTACAATGCAGCTTCTTGCCACTAGGCCACCAGAGCTCGCCAAAGCTCTGGTTTTTACGACCTACTTTCAGCAGTTTCCAGGCTTCCTCAGCATCCAGTTGAGATCTTTCACATAGGGATTGCCATTCTGATCTTCACATAATCGTAGAGTCTGCCTCTTGCGCTGTTGGCTAGGTGGTTCTAACAGGTCATAGATCAGCTCGTTGTAGATCTCAAAGAATGATATCCAGACGGAGAAGCGGATGTCTGCTGGGACACTTACTGGGGCAGTGTCGGGCTTTGCCCATTGATGACTTGTTTCATCCATGTGGCTATTGCTGGTAAAGGTGACTGGTAGAAGAGAGCCCAGCAATGCCACTATCAAAGCTGGTACTGGTACCCATCCAACTTTCAATGTGGACACTTCTCTTCAAGGAAGTAGATAAGTCTTCCTCTGGGAAGCCTCCATTTAACAGAGCCAGCTTCTTCATTTCCTCCTGCCGGATCTGCTTGCTGTCTAGCCAGATTACCTCATTGGAAAGCAAGGTTTTAATACCACTTCTGCTTTTTAAAAAATCATGATCCTAGCTAAATATTTATACATAGATCTTTCAAAACAGTCATAAGCCATTATTCTTTCAGCTCATAATTTTACGTATTTAAAATTTATCCACATGAAATACTATCCTGCAATTTTCATATCAGCAGTTTAAATTTCTCTACCTAGTAGATGAAGATGGAAAATAAGCTCCACAGCTGTTCTCAGAATAAAAAAAACCCTAACTAGTTTTCATAATATCCAATGTAGGGAGGAAAAACCTCTTTCATATTTTTAAAACATACTTTAAAAATGAAGAGTCATATAATTCAATGATTTAAAAGTACAAGTTCCTAAAATTTAAAGCATATATTTATTTTAAAAATTTTCTAAATTCTACTGAAATGGTTCTCTTTAAAAATGTATTTTTAAAAATTTTTAAATCTAGAATACCATTTTACCATATTGTTGTGTGCTGATGAGTCAGAATTAACTCATAGCTGACCCCTCTGAGTGGGTTTTCAGAGGCAATAAATTATCCAAGAGGAGACTGCGCCGCTTTCTCCCACAAATAGCTATTATTTTTTTCTTATTGTGTAACATTGAATCAGATCCAACTGGCACAAGAGATTGCCCCTCCTTCTCCAGTGAAGCATCTGGTGGATTCAAACTGTGATCCTTCGTGATTGCAGCACAATGAATAGCTATTTTAAAAATGCGTTAGATTTTATCATTAAAGAAGACATGTTTCACAGAATTGGTAATTCTCTAAAGATCACCATAAAAGACACTTTCTCGGCAATATAACTGTGTCAAATTATAAATATTAATTAAAGTTTTTGAGCATTAAATAAGACTAGTATGAAAGAAGTAAAGCTGGATAAAGTGATTGCTGTCATGAGAAAATGAAAAAAATTTAGAAAGCAGCCAGAAAAGAAAAATCTTGTGAAAATTCTAGTTTAATTGGAGAGGGAGAGAGAGATGGGGGAGAAAAGTAGTTTTCCTTGCAGTTTTTTTTTTCTTTCTCATTTTTAGCAATCAACTAAATGGATCATTTAAATGGATCTAAATGGATAATTTTTAGCAATACAACTAAATGCATCTAGAACTCAGACTCCTAAAACATAAGACAAAGATTTTCAACGAAACGATCTGCCTTTGTTTTTTATTATAAAGTCTTAAAATTGATTATCAAGGATGATAGGAAATAATAAATATATATTTACATCTGTAGTAGTCCAATTTGAAAATAAGTGTTTGTTGATGTATGCCACAGTCAGAGCTGACTCAAAACTGACCATCCATTGAGTGTTCAGAGGCAGTAAATTCCATCGGAGTTGATTGTCCATCATTCTCCCGCAGAGCAGCTGGCAGATTGAAATTGCATGCCTTTAGATTGGCAGGGTTTGTTGTTGTTGTTATGTGCCGTCGAGTCGTTTATGACTCATAGCGACCCTGTGTACAACAGCCCTAAACCCTGCTCTATCCTGTGCCAATCGCACTGCCTCTGACACACCCATCCCGATTACCCCAGTCACTGAATGGCAGGGTTTACATACCTAATATTGTTTTTAAGAACCTTCAAACAACTGTAGCATCTGAAAGTTGTGTAAGTTTTCTGTTCTTCATTAGCTCCTTCATGTCTTCCATAATAAAAGTCACTCACTAACATGATCAATTTTCCTTTCTCTGAAGTAATCCTACTTCTACTTTGTGTATTACTTTCCAAATAGTCCCTTAACACGTCTGGGCAACAACGCTAAAAGAGAAAAACATGTAAGCTTTATTCAAACAAGAAATTTATTTTTTAATTAACAAAGAAATAATTCCAAAAAGAAATCAGAAATTTTGATCCTAATAAACTACAGACCTACTACCCATTTCCTTGCAATTTATTCTTTCAGATGTAACTATTTTCTAATAATTGGTTTTTCCCCAAAAGTCATTAATTTCATATCTATATAAAACATACTTTAAAAGGAAAGGTAGTTTATATGTCATTATGTATATTTTAAATTCTAAAATAACTTTCAGTATATCTTGGTTGAAAGAGGACTTTGAACACAGCTATCCTGCCATCCCCTAGATTCATGGTGCTAGTAAATGGATAAGAGAGCAGTACCAGGTAGTTCTTGTATACCTTCACACATTCTATTTAAACCAAACCAAATCTACTTCACTCCAGTCAACTTCAACTCACAGACCCTGCAGGACAGAGCAGAACTGTCTCTTAGGGTTTTCAAGATTCTAAATCTTTATGGAAGCAGACAGCTTCATCTTTCTCCTGCGGAGAGGCTGGTGGATTTAAATTGCCAAATTATTAGACACCACCTCCACTATTTAATGCACTATTCCAATAGGGCTCCTTATTCTATCCAGAATATCTAATTATATGGTGATATTTACATCATGAGGAAATTCAAGACCTCATATAAACTGATCTTAATGTCAAACACATGGAGGTTTTTTCCCTCCAATAACACAATACAAATACATTACTGTACACAATTTTCAGTTTGTAGGACTTAAGATTCCTCATAAGAATAAGCAGAACAAAAGAACTTGTAAAAAATTCAAAATGATATTGCATACAAAGCAACCACATAGTTAATGACATAGAAAGCATAATTAAAGAGTAAAATTAATTAAATCAAGAGTAATTAAATCACATAAATCAATACAAATTAGTTTAACTCAGCTACTAAAAGAGGATCACAAAAGAAAAATAACAGCTAGAAGCTTAAAAATATACCAAAATATACCAAAAACAAAGGGTTGGAATAAAAAGGCAAAACAGGGAAATGGAAATAACAAAAAAGCAAGAGTAGTGAACCTGATATCAAAGTAGAATTCAAGTTAAAAAGCATTAAACATTAAACATTAAGGTTAAAAAAAGGACACTTTATGAATACACTAAAGAGTTAAATAAATACATAATTAGGTTTTAAGAGTTGGAACTATACCTATCTCATAATAGCAACAGTAATAAAACAGCATTGTTATTTTTAGTTGCCACTGAGTCATAGTGACCCTGTCTATGAACTGAACAAGAGATCTGAGCCCTGACCCTTCCTGCGCCATCCTCACCATCTGTTCTGCTCGAGCTCACTGTTATAGTTGCAGTGTTAATCCATCTTGTTGAAGGTCATCTTCTCTTTCTCTGACCCTCCACCTTTCCTATCATGATTTCCACCCCCCCTCCCAGGGAATGGTATATGAGACTAATAATAATACCACTATCACTCTGGGAGTGAAAAGATGTGATGAATAAAAAGATTTAATTTTGGATTTCTAGAGATACACAGACACATGTTTTGTGTGGGCAAGGGGCCAAACTCTGAATTTCAATGAAAATTTGCTCATCTTTTCAATAGCAAGCAATAAAATTCCCTAAGTTCTTTGGCTTGTACTCTTCCTCAAAAAACCTATTATTGCCTCTCTAGTTTTTCCTTTCTTCTCATTTATACTGGCAATGCAGGAAGAGTACAAACAATTTTCATGCAAACACAACAGGACTCTCGAATGCCTACTATTTTCAATGTTGTGTAAACCCTATACCTTGGAGACTCCCTATAACATAATTATTATATAACCCCAACTATATTCTAAGAGTTGTCCGAGTATTGGAAAATTAAAATGCTAAGCCAATATCCCATGGAATACCACAAGAACAAATAAGTCTGTCCTAGAGAATGTGAAACCAAAGTTTCTTGGAGACAAGAATGGTGAAACTCCATCTCATATACTTTGGCCATGTTGTCAGAGAAGCCAGTCCTTGGAGAAGGACATCATGCTTGGAAGGTAGAGGGTCAGCGGTAGAGAGGAAGACCCTCAACAAGACTGACTGATACAGTGACTGTAGCAATGGGATCAAGTGTGCCAGAAATGCTGAGATTAGCTCAGGATAGGGCAAGGTTCAGAGCTGTTCAAACCCTTGTAGGGTCATGAGTCATACTCAGCTCAATAGCACATAACAACAATAAAGTGACATGCACATGTTACCATAAAAAACAATGAAACAAAACTAATTCCTAAGACAAATGGAAAATTAAAACACTATCTAATAAAGTATTATTAGTTTTACTGGAAATTTGAAGAATGGACTGATTCAATGTATATCATCTTCTTTTTTTTCCTTAGGAGATATTTTATTTTTTAAAATTTATTTATTTTTCATTTCAATGAACATCTACAAAGATTTTGGAATTCCATTCATTCATTGTTGCACCCTTCTCCCCGCACAAACTCCTCCCCCCTCCCCCCTCATTTGCTCCTCTCCTTCAAAAGCAAAAGAAAAACTCCCTCATTGGTACGCAGTCCCCCCCACACATCCCCCAACCCCAAATATAATCCACTCTGCAACCCTCATTCCGTACTCTTAAGATAAACATAATGCCCTAAAATATAATACTTTTAATTCAATGTATATAATCTTAATGGCAAAAAGTTGATGGTTTAAAAACAACTGGGGGGAAAAAACTGGGAAGGAATTTAAGTTCCTATATGAAGATAATTATTATGTATATTAAGTTTTTATTTAAGTTATGTAGAAACATGTCTTCATGAAAATATTTCTTATCTAAATTTTTAGACAAACCAGCATTCTCTATTAATCTTGTCCTTAATATTGACATGTAAATTTTAAAAATTAAGTTTTATAAAAGTTTTACCTTCATATGATATTTCAAAAGATCGCTAAGACCAAACTTAGAATTGCACTTTGGACAAGTTGTTAGTGAGATTCCTGTTTTATTCTGACTTGGACCTAAAATAAATTAAAGACTTTTATAAACCTTAAATGATCATTAGTAGTAGTTTTAAAATTCACCATAACTTTTAAATTTTGTATTTATAAATAAATGTCATTTTATATGCAAGATTTCATATTTACCTTGTGAAAGTATAACCTGGGTAGATGGCACTGTAGTTGAGTTATCTGTGTCTTCTTCCTCTATCTTTGGCCTTTTTAGAACAATACTTTCTACTTGAGAAGTAGAAGGACGTTTTAATATTTGAGATGAACGCTCAGCTGTAACTACAATGATTGAAAGAGTGGAAAAGACATTGGTAAATGCTCCAGCATAGAAATTACTTATAACTGTTCATAAAATGGTCCTGTATTTTAAATTAAGTATAATCACTAAAGGAAATGTAATATGATTGTATTAATATATTATACAAATGACAATAAAGAATGGTAAAAATTTATATAGGTGTAGAAAAGCATTGCAAACCGCTGTTATAGCCTATATATTCTTAGGTACCTGTAAGTAGATTCTGACTCATAGGAACCCTATGTACAACATAGTAAAACATTCTCAGGTCTTGTGCCATCTGCATATCTTTTAAAAGAATAAATTTCATGCAGTTATTGTGTATTGCTGAGTGGGAAATGACCCAGAGCTGACACTTCAGTGGGTTTTTAGAGGCAGTAAATTGCATAGGCAGAGACTGCCCATTTTTCTCCCATGGAGCAGCTAGTAGATTCAAATTGTGTGCCTTTGGGTTGAGCTTCCTAACTACCATTGTTGTAGTTGTGTACCATTGAGTCAGAATTGACCATAGCTGACCCTCCAGTGGGTTTTCAGAGGCAGTTAACTGCATGGGAGGAGATTGCCCATCCTTCTCCCTCGGAACACTTGATAGATTCAAAGCACGTTGACTTCAGTATTGTGGCACAGGTTTTTTTTTTCAAGGCATCATAATATAATTCATTTAATCCTAAAGCAATTGTGCAATAAGCAAAATAACATAAAAGGAAAACAAAGGGGTTAACTTCTTGTAGGGGCTAATAAACAAGATTCATGCAGCACGACCATTAACCTTCACATAGTGGAGTCCTTTAGAAAGCCCATCAAAACTGAGATTATAGAAAATCACTAATGTCACCAACAAAAGGAATGTTGATTAGAATAAAAAGTTTCCCATAGGGCTGTCTTCTCTGAAAGAATTTCAGAATTTGCTAGCACAGGTCGGTTAAGTCAAATCTCACTGATGGCTCCATTAAAGAGTATGAATGCCCCAGATAGTGCTGTTTAAAAATGTAGAATGCTGCAAGGGGGGAAAAAACCTGAAAACAATCTACTGTTCCCCAACACATATGGCTTAGCACCCAGAGAAAGCCTCTGCCTCAAAAGGGGGCTTTCTACACAGGGTTAAGCTTCATTAAATGACCTTTCATTTTCAGGACATGTCTTTTCTTGCAAGGTCTTTAGAGGCAGAAGTTCCACTTGGATTCTAAATGTGGAGTCTAATGCACATCCCTGTGAGCTCAGCTTCCTGAAAACATATACCTGCTGGGTTCTAGATTCTCCTTGCCAGTGACTGGATTCACTGGTTCACAGCCACCAGAATCGCACATAGACTATTAACATGATGAAAAATACAGCCACTGCTGCAAGTTTGGCATAAGTGGAATGCATGTTCAAGTACTTTGCATCCTGGCGGTACTTCTTAGACAGACTGGACAAATTGTTAGCCTTTGAATCCAAAGCTGAGAGTGCTTCTCCCCGCTGTAACACTTCTTCAATATTGGCCACCATAATCCTCTGCACAACCTGAAATTCAGTATTGATGGAACCAAGGTTTCTCTGAGCACGACTGTCAATGTAGTTCTTTTTAGTTTTCTGAATGTAAGTGTCAAACTCAATAAAAGAATAGGGTCTGGACATGGTGGGAACTTTCTTC